AGCACTTATAACGGGACCTCTGGGGTCAGAACAGCGTGAGCGGCGCCTCGGGGTCCAAGGTCGCGCACTGGGTCACAGAAGTGCACGGGAAGGGGTTGGTGTGGAAGTGTGTTTGCTTCTCTGGGCTGTCATTCTTCAGCTGTAACATCACGATAAAGCTGGCCCCTCAGGACTGCTGTGGGGATCAGAGAGGATAATCCTTAGAGCGTGGACAAGCTTAAAGCTTCTTGTGTCCCCAAATGTGATCAAGTGTGAACCCTTGCTCTAAAGATGAAGCAAGACCGCTGCCCGCTAAGTCTCCAGAACAAGGGACAACTGTAGCATCTTGATGCCATTGTTCAGATCCTGTTCCAAGCGCTTTTTGTTTCTTTGTTTCGTTTCAGTTTTTATTGCTGTCAATTCAGGATAAAACGTTGCATAAATCCAATATGTTCTAGAAATATATGTTATGGCTTTCCAGTACATAACATTGTTTTTTCAGCTTTTAAGAAGCGGCTTCCCTTAATATTTGAAGCATGCCTCCCCCCAGATGAAGTTGGCTGAAATTTAGCTGTTTTTTACGCCTCTCGGGTAAGCTTCATATTGTTTGGGACAGAGTTATATTGTACTTCATTGTGTACAAAGTACAGAAGTGCCTCAGGGTGATGGCATCCTGCTTAATTCAGCATTTTAGTAGCCCCTCCCCCAGGAATTGGACTTTCCAAGGTGTTGCTTGTAGTCAACACCTGTCTCAGACTATTACATGATGCAATGAGGTCTTTCAAGAAAGACCACACACGTAATTTTTAGTTTAGTTACAATTACATGATTATAATCATTCTATGTTATTAGTTGTCGTTACTTTACTGTATCTAAATTATAAGTCAAATCTTCTCATAGGTGTGTAGGCATAGAAAGAGGACACAATATATAGAGTTCCATACAGCCTTCAGTTCGGGGCATTCGGTGGTGATCTTGAACGTACTCTGAAGAAATAAGAACATAAGTGGGGTACTGTATGTAAGAGAAAATAGAGGTTGATAGAGGCTAATTTGCCCAAATTCACAAAGCAAATAGGTGATAAAATTAATTTGGAAGTGGATAATCAGTAAGTTTAGGGAAAAGCCAGCCTTAGGCATAGGAAGGAAAAGAATTGTTATGGTTTATATCAGAAATGTCTCCCAAAGGCCTCAGATACTCATAGGCAGGACTTTTTAAAGGTGACCAAGTTATGGGGACAATACAGCTAACTTCAGTTAGGAGGTGGGGCTAGTTGGGGGGCATCCCTGGGGGAGCCGCCCGAAAGGGTGTATTTCCCTTCCTGGTTTCCCCTTCTTTCTCTGCTTCCAGGCTGCCTCGTGTGCACACCTTTCCTTTCCTAGTCCCTGCACCATGCTGTTTCTGTTTAAGGTTGCCAAGCATGGACCGAAACTTCTGAGCCAGGCACTAACATAAACCACTCTCCTTTAAGCTGTGCACGTCGGGCGTCATGTCTCGGCAATCAGAAAAGTGACTGAGAGATTTTAGTACTAGAGAAGTGGGGTCATCCTGTGACTCCCTGACTATGCAGTTTAGGAGCCTTTGGAACTCATTTGCAAGGAGAGTTTGGAAAGGTTTGGAGATGGCAGCTAGAGAAGCTGTAGAACACTGATGCTGAACTTGATGGGGATTCTAATTAGAGCTCAGAAGATCAGAGTGCTCACAGAAATGCAGACAGTAAAGGTCAGGATCAGGAGGCTTCATTTGGGAACAAGGTCTCATTTGGCAGTTGGATGCAAGACCATATGCGTTAGGGGCCAGGGAGATGGCTCAGTAGAATAAGCACTTGCCTGGCAAGTATAAGGGCCTGAGTTCAATCCCGGTTCTGAAAAAAAAAACAAAAAGACCATATGTGTTATACTCAGGCAAAAAAATTATCTACATTATCTCTCATCTTCTGAGAGATTAATCTGGCAGAGGGAATTTCAAGGCTGTCCAATGTTCAGGCCATAGCAGGGACACTGCTTGTTGCTTTTAGTAAGATCTACTGTCAGAAGCAGGAGCAAAGAGTCAAGTTAAATAATTTGAATTTTCTCTGGTAACCAGAAAGGGAGCATGTGTGAAATAGGGGCCTGTAAACTTTTGGTCAATGAAAACTTAGTTGCTGAAAATTTACATTTTTAGTTATATAGATCTTGCTTTAACTTGGTCTTAACCATCCAGCAGAAAAGTATAACCACAAGGTATAAAAATAAAGCTATATTAATACACTGAGGCTAGTTGTGCTGGTAACTCACTACTGTTATGGACTATGTGGACTATATTGAGTTATTTTGCTGAATCCAAGCACCTACAGTATTTGGACTGGCATCAAGTATGAAAATATCCTGTAAAGGCTTCTCCAAATACAGCTTCTCTAACAGCATTGGAACACCCAACTCTGACAAAATAAAACAAAAAAGGGATATAAAGGACCATTTTGTAGTGAATATATATATATATATAGAGAGAGAGAGAGAGAGAGAGAGAGAAGGTAGTTAGGATAGATATACAGTTACATTCTCTTAGGTCAATGAGAAGAAAGGTTTGTACTAATATTGTTTAGACAAGATATCATGTCTGCATCTTGTCCTCTGAATAACTACTCAATAACTACAATATGTAATGTATTAATTATTGTAACTGCCCTCCTAACCTGTTTTGAAACTGTTTCATTGCTATTTTATCTTTTTTCTCATTAAAATGAATAAAAATTTTTAAAAATTAATTGCTGAAAAGATTAGCAAAAAAAAAAAAAAAAAACAAGTACCTTGCATCCAGACAATAGAAAGCATAGTTTTCTTCTAACCCTGGAAACAATAGGACTCCACCCTTCAAACACTCAAAGGTTCAAAAGTGAAAGACTTTAACCACTAAGAAGAATATATGCAGTGTATTATTTGTTGAAACTGTACTTTCGATTTGATTTGAAACTGTCTCATTGCTATCTGTTTATCAATAAAACTTTGAAAAGAAAAAAAAAAAGGGAAAAAAAAAGTGAAAGACTTTGCTTTGAGAGGGGAGGCCCAGGGCGCCCTGCTTGTGAATTGGGTTCCTAGGATTTGTTTCACATTGTTCAGTCATGCAGGCACTCAGAAGCCTCTCAGCCATTTTTTCAAGGCAGAACTTGGTGTCATCCATGTGGTTCTGGTTTTACAAGCCTGCAGAATGATAACATTGTTGGGTCAGCAAGGCTTCCACACAGATTCCAGAAGAAGATCTAGGAAGCCAGGCCTTGCAAGTCAGTGTGAGAAGCTGGGAGAGTGAAACTGAAAGTGAAGTAGAGACCCAGGAGGTTAGAAAAGCCAGGACCATGGAATATGTGCTAAGGAAAGCCACAGGCAGTGAGCAAAGCTACCCCAAGGAAGAGCCCATAATAGCTGAAGCCAGAAAGCTGCAGGGTGCTCTTGCCCAAGCTCTTTAGAGTTTACTTCTTTGGTTTGGGTTCTGGACACTGAGGTACAGGATTTAATTTGCAAGGTTTCAGTCTTGCTTTTATCCCGTGCATTCTACTCCCCTACTCCCCTCTTTTGGAATGGGAACACTTGCCCTATGCCATTTTTTGTTGGAAGTGTTTAACATTCCTTTTATTTTCACAAGGGCTCATAGCTAAGAGTTTTCCTTGTGTCTCAGTGGAGACTTTGGATTTCCATAATATGGAAACTGTTGGGAATTTGGCAACTCTTAGAGATGAAATAAATTTATTTGATATAATGACATGTGCATGAGTCTTGGAGAGCAGGGGCAGAATGTTACAGTATAAAACAAAAGTGTCTATCAAAGGCTTCACGCACTCACACAAAAGGCTTTGGGAAGATGAGTGGACCCTGGAGGGGCTATAACTAACTTGCTATTAGGAGGTGGGGTCTGTTTGAAAGACGTGGCCACAGGGGCAATACCAAGAAGGGTGTAGCTGCCTTCCCAGCTGCTTCTTTTCTTCTCTTGTTTCCTGGCCCCCATGATGTGAGTGGCTTTCCTCTGTCCAGGTTCTTCTATCATACCCCATGTTGACAGAGGCAGTGGACATCCAGGGCTAACATACAAGCTCGTCTCACCACATTCAACCCATCACACTTCCCCTACAGTGGGCCCCACCCATGAGACCCAGGCTCTCCACCAGCAATGTAAAATTATTCTAGAACTGAAAGCATAACAATGAAGAGTATAAAGTATAAGAACATTTTTAGTTTCACTATCAAAACCACATGAAATATGCAGAGTACCAAAGAGCAGAGGTGTTTGTTTTCATTAATTCATCCCCTCAAATTCATTTAAATGATAAAAGGAAATAAGAACTCTTAAAATGTAGGGCAGATTTCATTTTTCTGATCTCCTCAACCTTAATTTGAAACTTGTAAAGAAAAGGGAAAAGCCTTCTCCACTCCAGATCAGACTGAAAATGTTGGCAGGGCTGGGTTTCTACTCACTCTGGTGACCTAAGAGAAGAGCCAGTTGTGGAGGATGATCCAGCCCTTCAGAACTCTGTGAAAGCCACAGCACTGGGGAACCCTGAGATGTTAAGCTGAACTGAGTTACAGGTCCAACCCCTAGATATTCCATAGCCCCTCCCCACATATCACAACCACACCTCCCAGTAGCAGTTCTATACTTATTTATCATGCACATTATTTGTTTAATGTCTCTAGTAGTCAAGAATTCTCCATAGAAACAGAAGTTACAGGAGATAAATAAACAGACAAATAACAGAGACAGATGAGAGACAGAAAAGATTTTTTTGGGGGGGGACCACAAAAAAAATTTTTTTTGTATTAGGGAGTAGAAAAGAAAGTAGTCCCCATACTGGGCTCTATTCAGTGGCAGCTTCTTGTTCTGTAAGGTTAAGAAGACTTTGAGGAAATAAAACTTGTTTGGAAAATTCCAGGTGTAGTTGCTTTGTATGTTGTGATGGGTAGAAGGGATGAAGTGAAGTGTGAAGGCCCCTCACACCCTCCATCTGGCCTCAGACTATGTCCTGGAACCCTGGGGTGGAGAAAGTGCCACTTTCATTCCTGTTTCTTGGGATTGTTGACAGCCACATAATGATAGAGAATGACAAGCAAGAAGAGTGACATGCCTAGCATGTAGGCGAATATGGCGAGCTGCACGTCGGTGATCATCCTGACCAGCTCCACCGAGCTAAGCCATGGACTCCACATGGCCTGTGCACAAGCACCAACTAGAAAAGATTGATTTATTTAAAGCACTCAGGAGGGCCTCAAGGAAAGCCAACATTTTGGCCCTAGCCTTCCAAGGTCAATTAAGACTCAGGACATATGAGAACTTGTACTGTAATGTCGTGTAACTGGGCAGTGTCCCAAATTTTCTGATCAAGGAGATTATAGGGCCAAAGAGGAAAGTGATCAATGATGTAGTGTGCCTAAGGAGAGTCACATGGAGAGAAAACATTCTCTCAGGCTTTCATAGAGAGCACATTGGTCAAGCAATGGCTGTGACTCATCCACATGGCTGACACTGACAAAGGTTCTACAATCTGAGGTATAGGATCTCAGGAAAAATCATGAGGGGATTTCACTGACCTTCTCAGATCCAAAAGCTACAACTCTTGTTGTATAGGTCTTGCTTTATCTTGGTCTTAACCATCCAACAGAAAAGTACAAAAACAAAGTATAAGAAATAAAGCCCTGGTGTTATGTTGAGCTGTAGGGGACTCAGGTCAACAATTTCTGACACTGCCAGTCAAGAGGAAGACCCAATTCTATTATGGACTACTGGACTCTTTTAAAATATTTTGCTGAGTTAACATACCTATAGTATTCAAATAACTGAATTAAACAAAAAAGGGTACAGATGAATGTTCATTTTGTATCTGTGTATTCAAAATGGTTGGATAGATATATAGTTACATTCTCTTAATGAATAGAGGGATTTGTTCTAATAGTGTTTATAAATAGGATATCATGTCCGCATCTTGTACAGCAAATAACCACTAGGAAGAGAGTATGCAATGTGAGCAAATAACCACTAGGAAGAGAGTATGCAATGTGTTAATTATTGAAACTGTCATACCAATTTGATTTGAAACCATCTCGTTGCTATTTGCCTCTCAATAAAATTATGGAAAAATAAAATAAAATAAAGCACTCAGACATCAGCCCTCGGGTGTCCTCTGATTCCACCCTTTTGTTCTCTCCAATTAGTTGAGGACCACATCTAGTTTCATGACAGAATAAAGAGAGGCCATCTGCTCTGCACACGCTATCAGGTCTTCTTTCTATCTCACACAAACACCTTCACAGACACTCTTCGGATAACACTTGACCAGATAGATACCTGGGCACCCTGGGACCTAGGCATGTTGACACATGAGATTAACCATCCCAATATCCGCTGCCCCTACCCAACTGAAGTTTGCCAAGCCACTAACTTGTTCTCTCTGATGCAAAATGTAGTCCCACAATGTGACCTAATAGCCCCGTGTAAAGAAGATGCTGCATAAATGTGTGTAGAGTGAGCGAGGCACGCGAGCACCCGACTGCAGCCTTGCTCGCCCAAGTGTAAAATAACAATCCTGCTGTGAACTGCCTCTGAAGTTTCAAGATCCATCAAGATTGATCTGGCAGGTCCCCACCAGAAACAGTGATGGGATATGAGGAAACAGAAGCCAGGAGTAGAGTGAAGGCACTGAGGAATGCCAGGGAGCCCGCCATAGACCCGTTGAAACATTTGCAAGGCCTGAGAGCACTTCAAATGTTCTAATAGCCACAGCTCCACATAGAAGCCAGTAAAATTAATTTTAGTCATCCAGTTTATATTACTATAAATGTAAGTTATAATTTCTAATGAAATTATTTCACTCAATATAGTCAGAACATGATTTGAATACATACCTCCGTGTGTGTGTGTGTGTGTGTGTGTGTGTGTGTGTGTGTGTACTAGAGATTGGACCCAATACCTTTGCTGTAAGCTACAACCCCAACCATTTTTGTGTTTTATTATGGGACAGAGTCTCACTAAGTCACTGCGTTGCTCAGGCTATCAGGCTGAAATCAAACTTGTGATCCTCCTGCCTGAACCTCCCAGATTGTTGGGATTACAGATGTCACCACCATACCCAGCTTCAATATAAAAAGTGCTGTATTAATGGATGCTTCCCTCTTTGGCACTAAGCCTTTGACGTTCACACTTGGAGCACAGCTCAGCTTGGACCACTGTATCCCAAGATCGATAGCACCCTGAATACACTTGATCTGGCCAGTCTCAGAAGCTAAGCAGAGATGGGCTGGCCAGTACATGGATGGGAGTCCAAGGACCTGGTGGCCACATCTGCCTCATGGTCAGTGCAGGAGCAGGGACAGCAACACACCCGACTCCTTTCAGCAAGGACACATGGTGCCCTCTCCTGTGCTGATACTAAATGAAACAGACTTGGATTTCAGCAAGATTTAGCCTTTGTCCCTGTGTCTTCTCTATTTTGAGAATAAATTAAGAACCAGCAGCGTCACCACATACGTGAAAGCTATGAAGCCAGATAAGGCCAAAATTCAGGATTTTCTCTGCTTTTTTACAAATGATGAGGGACCGGCCAGATAGCTCAGTGGAGTAACGCGCCTGCTTAGGCAGAGTACAGCAGCTGGGCTTCGATCCCAGGTATGCTGTGCCAGCCCCACCCCTGAGGCATGCTGAGATGGCAATTGAGACTGGGCATGGTGGCACGTGCCTGTAATCCCAGTCCTTGGGAGGCTGAAAACAGGCAGATCACTATGAGTCCGATCTACATAGTGAGACCCTCTAGACCCCATACTAAATACAAAAAAAAAGAAGAAAAAAAAAATGATGAGACTTGGGGCCTGACACTAAGTGTCCCCAAGTGCAGTGACTTTGCACATGAGGCAGAGCTCTGTAGGGAGATACCCCTGAGTGCAGTGAAAGCCAGAACTCTGCACTTTGTCCACAGCATCATTCAAGATTTCAGACTTAACATGAGGAATGAAAAGAAATTCCCAGGCACCTGGCAAGGAAATTTGTCCTCCAGAGGCCACCATAGAGGAGATTTCATGATTATCATCCAAGGAGGGAGTCTGTGGTGTTGTTCAGTCCCTTGTATGGGCTTCTGGGCCAGCCAGACCCAAGACATGTGCAAAGCAAACAAACTGCTGTCCATAGAATCCAAGGCACTTCTCATTTGGCATGACCAAATGATACACACCCTTTACTCTCTGCCACTCTGGAATTATGCTAAAGCTCAAAGAGATGTGGTCTGGGACACCCACAGCCTTGCCATCTCCTGGAATGATGCCAGGATTTGGGCCTATTAGGAAGATGGCCACAAACCTCAGGGCCTGACCCCTGCTGCAGATCCTCTTCCCCCTGCCTGCTTTCCCACCACCTGCTCACCTTCAAATCTTCCTTAAAAGTAGCTTCCAAATGTCACCAGCACTTAGAAATCAGCCATACTCTCATATTCTGTAATTTGTACATTGTCTGACACCAACCTCTCCCAAATGTTGTCAGAAGCCCAAATCCATCCATGATCTGTCAGCTTGTATTTCTCAGAAAAGTAACAGAAGAAAAAGAAAGAGCTCAAGTGGGTTTTCTGCTACCAGAGTGTCTTTAGAAATCTGTTAATGATGTATCCAGCGCCTTCTCCCCCACTGTTGGTGCCAGCCGGCAGACCTGGACTCACAGCATACTTGCCAGCATCTATGTCATTTTATTCTGCACAATAAAGCCTGGCTGTTTTCTTCTCCAAGAGGAAAAAGAGTTTTGGGCACATTGTAAATTATCTACATGAGATGAAATCTGTATGGTGCTTCCTGCTGAAACGGGATCAAAGGGAAAGTGACTGAAGTGTGCACTCTTCTCAGGCCCTGCTGGGTAGTCACAGGCTCGCAGGACCCCTGGGGAGGGCAAACTTAAGGAAGTAGGTATAAGAGAAGAAGACAGAGGTGAATGTAAAGAAGGCAGAGAAAAGGAGAGAGAGACATTCCTGTGGCCTGTTGGCAGGGAGAAGACACTTGCTGGGCCCCTATGGGGCAGACAAGAGGAGTCACTGGGGCTGTCCTGCTTGAGGAAGGGCTTACTGCCCAGCGGCAGGAATGTGGCCTCCAGATGTGAGCTCGGGGTCCTGTGCTGCAGGAGCTGCCTCAGATGCTGATGCCAAGAGGTGCTTGTGGACAATCCCATCTGGTGACCAAGAGGCAAGGACGTCAAGGGCTATCACCTCGGACACACAAGGGGATGACTCCATGGTTATGCAGGACTCCCAGGTTGTGGTGCTCTGCACTGCAGCTCAGCTTGTCCCTCTGTCATGTCTTCTTTCTGTTCACAGGAAGCAATCTCTAATAAAGGACTTGTAATTGCACCACAAATTCCATGTCAGGCTCAGCTTCCAATAACCCAAACTCCAATGACCTAATCTTGGTTTTACTGAGTATTTTACCTACATTACTCCTTGTAATCTGCATGATTGTGTGATATGGGCAAAAACTGAAGTATAGATATAGTGATAGAGACAGACAGAAATATTAGTCTGTTTTCAATTGCTATAACAGAGTATCTGAGACTGGAAAGTTTATAAAGAATTTTAATTTTTCCACTTCTGAAGAGTGTGAAGTCTAAGGTCAAAGGGCTGCAACTGGTAAAGATCTGCTTGCTCTTGGGGCCTTTCTGAAAAGTCCACAGGTGGTTCAAGGCATCATATGGAGAAATGGAATAAGAATGCTAGGCAGAGCTCATGTCTACAACAAAGCCACACTCTTAATAACTAATTCATGAATGGGTTAATACATCATGGTACTTGATACATTGTGTCAACTTGACATGCCAGAAGCTTGGCTAGATGGGATCTGGTGGTTCAGGGCTGTGGGGGCCCACCCCAGAGTGACTCAGTACAAAAAGTGTATACAGCGAGGAGCTGAGGAAGGCTTCTGCACCCCACTTCCCTGGAGAAGTCCCATTCTTTGTCATGCTGCTTTTCAGCTCTGCCACTTCGGAGGAGCTTGATCTTCCTGTTGGAGCACTGGTCTTCACAGTCAGCATAGAAGGAAGAAAGAGGCTTGATGGATGCCACAGCTGCTGCTCCTCCTCTGCTCTTCATTGTTTTCTGCAGCCATGAACTGCTGCCATTTGCCTTGGAGCCAGCCAACTATGGACTGAAACCTCCACAAGCTGTGAGCTAAATAAACCTTTCCTTCCTTCATTTTG